GTCACCGTTTCAGGATCTTCTAGGATCCTCAACCCCATTGATCATGAAGGGTCCTGAAGTGGTGAAGATCCTTAAGGCTCTGAAACCAACCCCCCCCCCCAACAGAAAGGGGAAAGTGGGCAGGAAAACTGGCCGGTTCCGGACTTTCCAAGGTCTTCATCACTCCAGTCCTTCAGGATCTTCAGTGGCGAATATCTCCAAGGATCCTGAAGCAGTGAAAACCTTGGAAGGTCTGAAACCACACCACCGACTCATGATTTCAAACCTTTGAACGTCTACACACTTTATGCTTCTGGATCTTAAACCACCAGTACATGGTCCCAGGGAACTCGAGAAAACGAGAGAGCCTCTCCGAAAAGTTAAGAAGGCTCCAGGCAACTGAATCGAACTGGCTGGCGTGCCAGCTAAAACAAAAATAAAACGCCACGCTGGCGTTCCCTCAAAGCTTGGCGGCATTGGCTCGCAGGGAGAAGCCGGCAGCCTCGGTCGGATGTACTGGTGGCTTAAGTCTCTAATGTGCCCTCCTTTTTTAACAAATTTCATGCTTTGAGGATCCTTTGGGGCCTTGAGCAATCTTACAACAGTGAAGATCCTTATCCTCAGGGCTGGAGGGGTCTAAACCATCCTGAATTCACAAGAACAGAAATGTTCTACTGCAATATTTATGTAATATTGAAGGCTATCCGATTCATAAGGCTGCATGGTCTGTATTGTGCTCTCTTTGCTCTACCACAAAGTTCCCTATAATAGCATTCTCAAACATAGTGCGCTACAGTAGTGTGCGCTATAGCAGCGTGCTCCAGAGCACATTGTTCAAGAACAGAGTGCCATAAAGCAGAGCGGAGAAGACTGCTCCGAACCAAAGTGTCCAGGACAAGAGTGTAGAGTGCACAGCACTCTGCTCTTGAGCACGCTGCTCCACAAAAGCACTCCGCTTTAGGGAGCTCAGCTTTAAATTGCTCTGCTCTCAAGCACTGCTCCACATCACTAGAGCACTCTGCTCCATAGGATTAGAAGTTAGAACACTCAGCTCCAGAGCAAAGAGCACTTTGTGGCTCCAGTGCACTCCTCTTCTCCTCCTCCTCTGTTTGGGAGCCACCACAAAATATGAAGAGTTGGAAGGAACGCAACTACCAAGATGAACCGCAACTGTCCTTCAGGGCATCCATCAAAATTGGAATGACACAGAGAACATTAGCATGGCCCTTGCACAAAAATGAGGTGCAGAAATTGAGAAATGCACCAAACTTTCCAGGGAAACAGAAAAGAAAAAGAAGAGATACCCGACCTCTTCCTGTTTTCCTTTATGCTGGGCCGTCACCCGGCCCGGCAGGCCCAGGCCAGTTGGGCAGAGGGGGGGTCGCCCGGCAAAACCAGATGGGTCAAAAAAGAGGCAAGGATCCCAAAAAACAGAAAAAAAAGACTTCAGGCCAGGACTGCACTTGGCCTAAGCAGTCAGAATCCGGTCTTAACTTCAATTTTGGTGATGGGTCATCCAGGTGGGTTTGGGGGGTATAAACCACGACTGAAGGGGTTTAAAGGGGAGCATTTCGACTCATGTTTTCTCATTTATTTTTATCTTAAAATTAACAAGGAACTTCTCGGTGGCCCTCAGCCAAAAGTTGTTTGTATCACAATTTTACACAACATGTTTTTTTTCGGGATTTTTTTAATTTTTTTATTGTCTATTTTTTTTAATATTATGTGCGGGGACCGCCTGGGACCCTGCCAGGACCCTGCCCGCCCTGGGGCGCCCGGGAGGGTACCCAGGCGACCTTCCCTCCGCCGGCCCACCCGGGGACCAGCAAAGGTTTTCCTTGGATACACTGAGCATTCTGGACGTGCACAGGATTGTTACTGGCCAAGTCCCTCACAAATGCACCCAGCCACCTTCATTTTGGACATGGAGAATGTCCAGGCGTATCTCAGGCAAAAGAGAGAAGTTAAGTTGCATCTCAGATTCCCAATACTTTTCCTAAACTGAAATTACAAGATGCGTCAGGTGCCAGATATCCTGGCATATCTGAAATGTTCAAATGTAGCATTTGATTGGTATGTTAGCTAACAACTTGGGTTTCAGGGTTTGAGGACCAAGATGTTCATTTTTTTAATTTTCACAAAATTTTCAGGACATTCATCTAAATTTGGTTCAAAAGGATAAACAATGTCACAGAAACCAACATGATTGAGAACAGCACCACATTTACGCACCGTTAAAACCACTAATGGGACGCGCGGGAACTGCGTCTTCAGAATGCCCAAATGACGATAATCTGGCCGGAAATCGTGACCCCACTGACTGCAGCAATGAGCTTCCTGATGAGTTGGTTGTATGCGTGCAAGCACGTACGCATGCACATGCACACACAGACACACAGCCAAACTTCTCAGTCAAGATTTTGACTTTTTTGCCTTGCCAGGACCTTGTGGCAGGTAAAATCAGTCTGTTGCTAAGTTACCTGCGATGCTTGACAGAGCAGCCGGGCGACCCGCCCAGGGGGTCTCCAACCCAGGACACTCCTGGCATGTAAAAGTCCGGGATTTATTTTCTTTTCTTTCCCATCCATGATGCGTTTTTGTGCCCACTGAAAGCAGCCCAAATCTGGGATCTTTGTTGCTTTTCAGTGCCTCTGGTTGCTGCGGGGGGGAGAAGGGGGAAATAATTGGGATTGGGTTTCAAAGGATGTGAATCTCTCTCTCTCTCTCTCTCTCTCTCTCTCTCTCTCTCTCTCTCTCTCTCTCTCTCTCTCTCTC